GGCGGGCCTGCAGAGCCAGCGGAGGGGCCTGGAGGGACCTGGAGAGCCCGCAGAGGGCAGCCTAGGGCAGCTGCCGCCAGAGCCACGCACAGTACCTGATAGAGGAGGCGGCATGCCTGGGGCTCAGGATGTGGGGCACAAGGAAGTAACCCAGAAAGTCTCCTGGAAGTTGGTCCTAAAGAAGTGCGAGTGAAGAACGATGGCGAACCTAAGGGGTGGGAAGTGCCAGCAGAGGGCGGCTGGACCCCAAGGCCACGCCGACTTCTCTCATCCCCAGTGGAAGGCATCACGCACTCCTGCTCAAAGTGCTCGAGATTCATGACTTCCAAATCCAGTCCAACTGTTCTGTAGGACACACGGGTTTTCAGACCCCGCTCCAATCACCGGACACCTGTCCACGGTCACCGTCAGCCATGTTCTGAGGATGTTCCTCCGACCTGCTCACGGCTCCCCCGGTTCATGCCTGGCCCCAAGTCCTGGCCCCACGGTCGCCCAGCCCGCACCTGGCGCACTCCTCACTCTGCAGCTCAGGCACCTCCTAACGCCTTCATCTCCAGGGCGCATCCCAGACCCCAGCCAGGCCGCTCTCAGTGTCTCCCTCCTGGGAAAGAGCGGGGTTGCCCTACCCTAGCACACACTGCCACCCACTGGGGTCATCACACCCTCTCCACCCCACAGCGGGAGGCCCTCTGTCATCACAGCGCTCTCAGGCCATGCAGGCCTAAGCAAACAGGTATAGGAAAACACAAGAGCGTGCTGAGAAAGTGACGCCGAGGGCCGGCCGACGCTCAAGGGGAACAGCAGAGCCTACGTGCAGCAGGAAGGGGGTGGGAGGGTCTCAGGGGCCCCACGAGCAGCGACGCCCTAAGTGCAGTGACCTAGTGACCAGGGCGTGGTGACTGAGCATTCCTGGAGGCCGCTCCCGAGGCTCGTCCTGCACTTGCTGGCTCAAAGTGGTCAGAGCTGTGTGCTACAACAATCAGCCACTGGTCCATCACCCACCAAGGACAGAAAACTGTCACAGGCACAGCCCGCTTCGTGCAGGTGGCTCTCGGGCCCTACAGTGTCAAACAGGAACCTGCTGAGACCAAAACCACCCAGATCTCTGCCATAGAAACCCATAGAACAGAAGAAAGGGCCACAAAGACTCCCGGGGCGGGGCAGCAGCATGTGTGTGGGCTGGGGCGGACGCAGGCCAGCTCCAGAACCAGGGCTCTGTGCAATGACGGGTCGGGTTGCCAGGGCTCGAAGCCTGGGTCAATGGATGGGACAGGTCTCTGGTGGAGACAGAATTCTGTCACCCAGCTCCAGATGCAAAACTTGTCTATAATCTTCAGGATCCAGATGGCTACACAGCTTCTTGAAGTGCCAGTGCCTGGTGACTCAAGGACACTTCTAAGCATAGGAAAAAGCCACACCTCTAGCTGAAACCTGCCCAGTGACATCTGAATCCCCAAGTCCCACCTCCTTGTAAAGAGCGTTCTCTTGAACTTATGACACGAAAACGGGGCCGTCCACTCAATGTGGGTGAGCAGTCTACCTCTGCAGGACCCGCCCTCGCTCCAACACAGCTCCGGATGGAAACGCGGCCCAGCAAGCCCAGCACTCTCTGCAGGACCCGCCCTCGCTCCAACACAGCACCGGGCCCAGGTCCAAAACAAACTCAGAGTGTAAAGGAAAATGGAAACGGGATGTGCGTGTCGTGGGGGAGCGGGGGCAGGGAGTGTGTTCGTCCAACAGAAAAGCCGTCTGAGGACTGGAGGTGGCCAGGTGCAAAGGAGGGCATCTGATTACCGAGCTCACCACGCTCACCGCGCTCCGAGAAGCGCAGGGACGTAACCCCCTGCACACACTCACCTGCAGTTTGATTGCACTCAAAGTTTATGACACTCATCCGCTGAAAGCCGGAGCTGCACTCTTCACCTCCAAAATATATCAAGGTGAGGTCTCCGTCAGAGTACCTAGGTTTTTGTGAATACGGAGACAAAAAGGTTTTGTAGAACTAAGAAAAAAATGAGTTTCTAAAAGTTCCTACAATAAGCCTTTTGCATGCCATCAACAAATCACTACTGCCATAGAACCGCGAGCTCCGTAGCCAGAGAGGGGAAAAGGTCTTAAGGAAGTGAGTCCCAAGTGTGCGGAACATCGTCCTCTGCCTTCAAGGCCCTAACTGGCTAGAAGAAAGTGCTGAGAGTCTTTAGGATTTCATCTGAAATCCACATTCCAGCAACCGCCTTCCACATCCTACCTGAGGAGGCCTGGACATATCCATTCCCACGTAATCTAACTTTCCTACTGTTTGACGGTAGCTACCACGTGAAAGGTCTTACAGATCCTGCAGAACCCTTTTGAGTTCTTTAAAACTTTTCTAGGGGGCCAGCAGGGGGCATGGTGGTTGAGGTAATAGACTCCCACGTGGCCAACCGTGGTTCGAGTCCTGGATCCAGAGACTTGAATCTCACACAAGATGCACGTACGTGCACATCCTCCTCTGAGAGGAGGATGGAGAAGGGACTGCGGAGTGGCCAGCCCGCTGGGGGTGAACTCTCGCTTTCTATCTCTCTGTCTCTCCAGTGAGCACATGTGCCCCGCAGCAAAAATTTCTCATAAATTTTTTTTTTGTATAATGCTAACAGTAGTTCAGATTCTCAAACTGCTCAAGAAACGCTAAAATAAATTTAAAAATACAAAACTTGTATCAACTGTGAACGGATTCAATGGCTGTCCTACAGCACAGCCCCTTACAAACGATGTGTTTACGAAGTGAACGACTCAAAGCGCAGCACGTAACCCCAGAAACCAAGAAAAACATCTCGCTGCTAGGTGAGTCGTGGCAACCTGCCCACACCAAACAGGAAGGAACCCAGATCAACTGACTTTCTGCACTTTACGGAAACCGGGAGGAGGAAGATGACCAGGGGTGAGCTGTCTCCCAAGCACACACAGTGTGCTCTGGAGCGCCGTGGGGCTGTTTACACACCGGAGGGTCTGATTCTGGTATCTTCCTGCTACTCGGACTTGGGTGGAGTCGCTCTTCTTCACTTGGCACACGGCAGCTTCTTTCTTGTTACAGATCGGGGCTTCCATCTCGCCGCAGACATTCAGGTAGAACCTGTACTCCGTCCCCTCCGATGTGTAGTGTGAGCCTACGGGAAGGGAGAGAAAGGAGACGGCGCTTTCTGACATCAGCAGGTGCTACAAAGTGGCAGCGTTACAACCTCTGGTCTAAGCCCAATTTCTGAAAAGCCCAAAGCATACTGCCCAAGCCAGCGGCACGGTGTGAGCCCACGGCCCGCCCACCCAAAAGCCTACTCTCCAGCAGGTGCAGGACGGTGCCAGCACCCACTCACCCCTGTCCTGGGCCAGGGGGCTGAGGTCGACGGCGACGTCGTGCTGCTCGCTGCTCAGGGTACAGCTCTGGCTCTCCAGGTAGTCCCTGTGGCAGGCGTACTCGGTGACCCACTCCACCTCGTAGCGGCAGTTGGAGCTGGCAGTGAGTTTGGGAATGGTGCCCTGTTGGGGACAGCGTGGGTGAGATGAGCACACACGGACCTGTGGCGCCTGCTTCCCGTGTGCTAGAGAGCTCGGAGCCAGACTGGGCTCCCTCTCCGGTTCCTAGCGCTGAGCCCTAACCCTAACACACTCACGTGATGTACCTTCTAACAAGTGTGCTTGCTTCTGTCTCCTTTGCCTTTCCCTTTGTTCTCTGTCCGGCGTACAACTTCACTTACTCTGACTCCATTTCCTTTCTGGGCACCTTCAGAGTGACACTCAGGCTTCAGCACACCCTGAACTCACCGCCTGGCACTCCACGAGCCCGACCAATGGCAGCAGTGACAAGGGCCGCGCAGTCCACCCATCCGACTGAACCCTGCTGCTGAGGGAGCCCCCCCCAAGCACATGCACAACGCAGCTGACATTCCCAAACCTCTTCCCTAGGAGGCAGCTTCCCCCCCTGTACTCAATTCTGGGCACCCCTCAAACATAAGCCCGCGTCCTGCCACTTTGATGTCCGGATAGCTTTTACAGACCAGGAGCTGCAAGGACCACCCGTGACATGAACAGGAAAGGATGAGGACAAGGGAGGTCACCATGCATTTGAGTGTCACCATCATCTTTTTAATCGCTCTCGAGAGACATGCCATGAGGGTCTCAGTACCAGGAAGGCACCGTTCATTCTGTAATTTCTTTTTTTAAAGAGTGATCTACTTAACTTTTATTTATCATTATTCTTATTTTTTCATTTGCTACAGGACACACATACTCACTAGAGAAAGACAGAGAGAGAGGGAAAGTGAGAAACAAGCCACCAAGTCCAAATCCTCATTGGCCAGGTAAGTGTCCAGCACCCCAACCACCACGCCACCTGCTGGCCCCGTTCTGTAAGCATTTGCTGAGCACCTGCTACATGCTTCCTTTACAAGATGTCAGATGACTAATTAAAAAGGCCACAGAGTTGCAAGCCCCATCCTCCTCTGTCTGACTCAAAATCGATGCTTCCAACCATCAGGCTCAGGCTAGTCAGCACTGAGTGACACAGAGCTGGGTACCAAGAAAAGCCTGCACAAAGGCCGAGCCCTGTAAGATTCAGGAAGTGTCCAGAAGGCGAATCTACAGAAACACAGTGGGTTCATGATTGCTGAGGACGAGGACAGGCAGAGACAGCTTGGACACCAGGTTTCCTTCGGGGGTGATGGAAAAGCTCTAAAATTAGATGGTGGACATGACTAATTCTGTAATATACTAATAACCACTGAACTGAATTCCACTTAAAATAGGGGACTTCTGGGACCAACAGATGGCATAATGGTTATGTCGTGGACTCCCACATGGCCAACTGTGATTCGAGTTCCAGATCTGGCAGCTCACGCCAGGCGCATATACATGCATGCCCAAAACCCTAGGAGGAGACTGGAAAAGAAGGCTCTCTGTCTCTCCAGCGAGTATACGCACCCTAGCACCCCGTAGCCACATGAGCCCTTTAGTTAAAAAAAAAAAAAAAAAAAAAACTCTTTAAAAAAAAAAAAAAAAAAAAAAACGGACTTTACAGTATATGAATTCGATAACTATGTGACACAATAAGTGTTCACTAAATGCCAGCTCCCAAAAGTTTCAATGAGCCGACACAATGTCTGAATGAACCTTCTGAGTGCTCCGTGTCAAAGCGCGTTCAGCACAAGTTCTGCCCAGTTAATGGTTAAATCCCGAGTTACAAACCCGCCTCCTCTTCCAACACCAAGAAATGCCTGTGCCCCTTGGAGAGAAACTCCCAATTTTCTTGTCATCGTGTAAAAAGACTCTTATAGAATAAAATATAGAACAAATAAAAAGGAAAACACTACCGCCACCATCAGCTTAGAATGTACAGACTCAAAGACGCCTGTAGGTGTCATCCCAATGGAAGACGTAACCAAGTACTCCTTGACGTTCCTGTTCAGAACTAACTCAGACAGTCCAGTGTCCCATGGGCTGACAGCACGTGGATGCGGGAGTCTCAGGGTGGAGGATGGAAAGCTGACCCCTGCCTGCCCTTGCCTCCCCCCTCAAAGGCCAGCTGCCAGCCTGAACTCAAAGCAAACTCCACATTTGTTTGGGGGGAGGGGAGTGTGGGTCTCTGCAAAAGAATTCCACCCCTCCTACTTAATTCTATAACAAAAAGGCGGAAATAAATCCAAGGAAAAGCCCTAGCCCTTCCTCCCCGGGATGGGACGCCCCCTCTCCATTAGCACCTCCTGTCCCGGGAAAATACTTAAGACAGCAAACCTGCGTGCACAGGCTGCTGGGCTCAAGGACAAACTGGACTCAGCACTACCTCGAGGAGGAGGGTACAACCGCACCAGCGATGTGGCAAACAGCCAGGGGCAGACAGCTGCCTGAGAGGGAGCCGCGGAGAGGCCGGAAGGGGGAGGGAAATCGCTGCTCCACTATTAACTACAATCAACCTAATCATAAACAGTTTTTAACTCTGTCCCCAACCACTGAAAATCATCCCACTCACTTTAGAACAACACCCCCTCCCACCTTGACATCTGCAGAGACCCCTGGGTGGGGCATAAAAGCTAAAAGCTGTTTTCCCTGGCACCCTGCAGGGCTGAAACCGGCCTCCTCCTGAGAGCCACCGGCGCAATGCTGGAGGCCACGTAAGCCTTGCCCAGTCACAAGTTCCACTGAGGCAGCCCACGTGGCCCAGCTGGTCACTGCCCAAGCGTCGTCTTGAGACGCGCACTCACCTCTCTCCGTTCCGACGGGCAGATGAAGGTGATGGTCACCGCTGGGCTGTGGCCATCACAGAAGTCCAGCCTTCCTGCCTCTTCCTTCCCATAGCTGAGGACAAGCCTGCAGGATCCACGTCGCGAGAAGTACAGAGACTAAGTTACACTGGAAGTCATGCCCTGCCCTGAGCTTCAGCCCTCCACTTGGGAAGCGGGGAGCAGGAGAAACATCGAAGTGCAAAGGGAGCTGCAGTGTCAATTTATTTCATTTCCATTTGGAAAAAATGTAAGAAAAACCAAGCTTCAAAGAATGGTATTTGGCTAAAACTCAAGTAAATAAAATGGCCCACATGTAAATTTAAAATACTAGGGAAAGCTGTTTGACAAACAAACAAAACCATGCTGTAGATGATCCAGCCAATAAGCGCTCACGGAGGTGAGCAGGCCTGGTGCTCTGCTGCGCCCGGCCGCACCTCGTTTCCTCCTCACACATGGCTTTTTTTTTTAAGAGGTTTTTGCCTTAAGGCACATGCACTTGCCAGAGAGAGACAGACAGGGACAGCGAGAGGGAAAATGAGAAATCACCCCCCAGGGGTTAGGGCCACACTGCAATCCCTTCTCCTCCATTATCCTATTGGGATCTTGGGCACACACACACACACACGTCCAGTGTGATTTTTCAAGCCACCGGGTCCAGGACTCTGACCACAGTTCAAGTCCCAAACCTGGTGACTTAAAACTCTCGCTGGACACATGTGCTTGTGTGCGCAAAATCCCAGGAGGAGACTGGTGGAGAAAGGATTGTGGTGTGAACGTGCCCTCAGGGGGTGACTTCTTGCCTTCTGTCTCTGGTGAGCACATGAGCCCTTTAGTTAAAAAAAAAAAAAAAAAAAAAACTCTTTAAAAAAAAAAAAAAAAAAAAAAACGGACTTTACAGTATATGAATTCGATAACTATGTGACACAATAAGTGTTCACTAAATGCCAGCTCCCAAAAGTTTCAATGAGCCGACACAATGTCTGAATGAACCTTCTGAGTGCTCCGTGTCAAAGCGCGTTCAGCACAAGTTCTGCCCAGTTAATGGTTAAATCCCGAGTTACAAACCCGCCTCCTCTTCCAACACCAAGAAATGCCTGTGCCCCTTGGAGAGAAACTCCCAATTTTCTTGTCATCGTGTAAAAAGACTCTTATAGAATAAAATATAGAACAAATAAAAAGGAAAACACTACCGCCACCATCAGCTTAGAATGTACAGACTCAAAGACGCCTGTAGGTGTCATCCCAATGGAAGACGTAACCAAGTACTCCTTGACGTTCCTGTTCAGAACTAACTCAGACAGTCCAGTGTCCCATGGGCTGACAGCACGTGGATGCGGGAGTCTCAGGGTGGAGGATGGAAAGCTGACCCCTGCCTGCCCTTGCCTCCCCCCTCAAAGGCCAGCTGCCAGCCTGAACTCAAAGCAAACTCCACATTTGTTTGGGGGGAGGGGAGTGTGGGTCTCTGCAAAAGAATTCCACCCCTCCTACTTAATTCTATAACAAAAAGGCGGAAATAAATCCAAGGAAAAGCCCTAGCCCTTCCTCCCCGGGATGGGACGCCCCCTCTCCATTAGCACCTCCTGTCCCGGGAAAATACTTAAGACAGCAAACCTGCGTGCACAGGCTGCTGGGCTCAAGGACAAACTGGACTCAGCACTACCTCGAGGAGGAGGGTACAACCGCACCAGCGATGTGGCAAACAGCCAGGGGCAGACAGCTGCCTGAGAGGGAGCCGCGGAGAGGCCGGAAGGGGGAGGGAAATCGCTGCTCCACTATTAACTACAATCAACCTAATCATAAACAGTTTTTAACTCTGTCCCCAACCACTGAAAATCATCCCACTCACTTTAGAACAACACCCCCTCCCACCTTGACATCTGCAGAGACCCCTGGGTGGGGCATAAAAGCTAAAAGCTGTTTTCCCTGGCACCCTGCAGGGCTGAAACCGGCCTCCTCCTGAGAGCCACCGGCGCAATGCTGGAGGCCACGTAAGCCTTGCCCAGTCACAAGTTCCACTGAGGCAGCCTACGTGGCCCAGCTGGTCACTGCCCAAGCGTCGTCTTGAGACGCGCACTCACCTCTCTCCGTTCCGACGGGCAGATGAAGGTGATGGTCTGGGCTGGGCTGTGGCCATCACAGAAGTCCAGCCTTCCTGCCTCTTCCTTCCCATAGCTGAGGACAAGCCTGCAGGATCCACGTCGAGTACAGAGAAGAGACTAAGTTACACTGGAAGTCATGCCCTGCCCTGAGCTTCAGCCCTCCACTTGGGAAGCGGGGAGCAGGAGAAACATCGAAGTGCAAAGGGAGCTGCAGTGTCAATTTATTTCATTTCCATTTGGAAAAAATGTAAGAAAAACCAAGCTTCAAAGAATGGTATTTGGCTAAAACTCAAGTAAATAAAATGGCCCACATGTAAATTTAAAATACTAGGGAAAGCTGTTTGACAAACAAACAAAACCATGCTGTAGATGATCCAGCCAATAAGCGCTCACGGAGGTGAGCAGGCCTGGTGCTCTGCTGCGCCCGGCCGCACCTCGTTTCCTCCTCACACATGGCTTTTTTTTTTAAGAGGTTTTTGCCTTAAGGCACATGCACTTGCCAGAGAGAGACAGACAGGGACAGTGAGAGGGAAAGTGAGAAATCACCCCCCAGGGGTTAGGGCCACACTGCAATCCCTTCTCCTCCATTATCCTATTGGGATCTTGGGCACACACACACACACACGTCCAGTGTGATTTTTCAAGCCACCGGGTCCAGGACTCAAACTGCCATGAGACAGTCCAGCAACATGACAACTACGTCATCTGAACAACTTCTAAGTAGAAGCCAGAAGTATTTTCTCACAGCCTGAAGACTCCCCAGAGCACGGGCCCAGGAGTCGGGGGCCTAGGGTCCTCCTTCACCACCCACCTGTGTGAGTGCTGGGGCAGGAAGGGATGCCACCTGCCGGGGAACCTGGCTCCTGTGGGGTCACGGCTCCCACTGCAGAATGTGCCCACAGCTCGGTGCCACTGTGGCTGCAGAGCAGCTGGAAACAGACAGATGCCTGTGTGCTCGAGACGAGCTCAAGTGCTCGCTCAGCACCCTGCACCTGACACGCTCGCTGACCCTCCCAGGACTAACCCCCACCCATGTGTCACTTGGGACACAGTGGCTGAACTGCTTCCCTTCACAGTTCCTAGTTTGGAGTCCTGGCCCCAGACCTCAGCGAGTGACTGTACTGAAGAAGACAGGACCTTTAAAGGGGCAAATAACCAGAGCCAGCCGGTGTTGTGACGTGAAGGCGCTGGGTCTCACATGGCCCACTGAGTGGTTCAAGTCCCAGACCAAGAGGCTTGGAAATCACACTAGGTAAGTGTGCATCCATACATGCTCAAAATCCCAAAAGGGGAATGGAGGAGGGATTGTGGCATGGCCATCCTCCGGGAGATGATCTCTCACTTTCTCTCTGTCTCGGGCAAGCACATGCGCCCCACGGCAAAAACTTAAAAGACGGCAAATAAGCAAAATTCCATAAAAGTTAAGCAAGTTACATCCGTGAGTTTTCCGTGGACAGGGTGCACCCCGTGGCTGTCCCCCTTCCTACAACCATGCAGATGCATGGCAGGTTCCAGAGCAGGGTAAGCCACCATGAGGCGGCCACCCAGAGCCACTAGACTAGAGAGGAAATCAAAATCCGGGATCCGGCTTCATGACCTGGTCACATGTGACAAGCTGGAGGAACAGTGTCTGCCAAGTCGGGTACAGAGGCACAGACGAGCGCGTGAGAACGGCAGCTTGTTACAGATACAGACCAGGCGCCCGCCAGGCAGCAGGCAGGGGGAAGCCTCCACCCAGGCAGGACACCAGCAAACTGCCTCTGAGAAACAAGATCATTATGGACACAAAAGTGACTTTGTGGGTGGCACAAAACACAGCACATCTGCGCGCACCTTAGGGGGGCTTTACTTAACCAAGTATAGGAGGCACCTAGCCAGCGGGGCATTCGGGTCCCCATGCGCACACACACCGGGGCCGAGTCGGGACCTCACGGTTCTGAGGTCGGAGTCCCGGTCCCTGGTGCGTATGTACACCTGCCGCGTATACCTCGGCACATGTATGACATAGCATGTTCGGGACGTGGTCACATGTGACAGGCTGGAGGAAGTACTTCTGCCAAGTCATCAACATTTACTGAAGGTGTGATCTCCCACCGAAGGGCAGGAGTGGGTGTACGTGTGTTCTGGGGGCTGGATAGTGTGACCGCGGCGAGAGACCGAGTGGACGTGAACCACAAGCAAACCAGCCTGCGTGACTCTGTCACGTGAGGTTGTCACACGCAGGGACTGGCCCACGCCCTGTGGAAAGGGATGTTCTCAGCTTAGGATTAAAACACCAACAGCAGCAGAGGCCTCGACTCACCTGTCCTTGCTCACTAGCTTCAGCCCCTCCTTGGGCTGGCCGACGTCGAATGCCTGGTCTCCTTTCAGCAGGCAGGCAGCAGTGCCCAGGGGACAGCCACGCAGCTGCAGACTTGAGTCCCGTAGCGAGTCTGCAAAGCGTCGTCATGGAGGAGTTAAATCACCCCGAGTGTCAGGAGGGGCAGTCACACATACCCCAGGCCCAGGGGCCCTATAAACACATCACTGAACTTTCAAGTCCTTATTAAGCATTCTGAGACCTTGGGCAGTCACTGGCCTCCGCAGACAGCTCTGATGACGGAGTGCCTTATACGCGCTCGCTCCGGGACCTGACAAGGATCTGCCGTGTCCCAGCAGCTGAGGAACACCTCTCTTCCTGCTCCTCAAGACCGACTTTAGCAACATCCCTTCGAGCCAGGAAGAAACTAGAACACACGAGTGCTCAAAGGAGGACCGGAACAAGACAGCCAATGGAAAGGATCCCAGGAGGGTTCCAGACTCAAATCCTGAATTGAGGGGGCGTCCCGACCAGGGCCCTCTTGCTGCCTCCCAGGTGTGAGCGAGGATTAGGAGGCGCGCGCTCCTGCCTAGGACAAAGCCTGCGCTTCAGACCGCCAGCAGCAATGGCCGCCACGACGGCTGTCCTTATCTTCGCCCGCGCACGGCTCTCTGGCACTACTGGGTTCAAGGTCGACTGTGCCTTCTTCTCCCGCTTGGCTTCAAGTTCTAGGAAAGCTCAACTGTGGCCCGCTCCACGCTGCACCAGCTCTGCCAGCTAACTGCACCTTGCTTGGGCTGCTGTGCCTTCCCCAAGGGGACAGTCATCAGCCCTAGGAGTCAGCAGCTAAAGCTGTCCCCAACCTTCCTGACACCAGGGACCGGCCTTGGGGAAGACAATCCCTGCATAGACCAGGTTGGGGTCAGCCGCTGGTCATGAGATGACCCCATTTCCACCACTATCACATATTACAATATACAGGAACCCATCACACAACTGCATGCACACCCCCAGGAGAACCTAACACTCTGCTGATCCAACAGGAGGTGGAGCCAAGGAGGCAGGCGAGGTGAGCCCAGGGAAGGGCTGCAAACTGGCCTGCACCCCTCTCCCCCCCACTGTACAGCAGGGGCACCGTCCCCACCCAGGGTTAGGGACCCATGAGCTAAGGAGCGGGCAAGCCCCCTCCTAATTACACTTCAGCCCTGACAAAATGTAAAGCAAGGAGCCCTGGGTGTGGAGGATTTGAGCACGCGGCAGCAAATTGGAAACTATTCATGCAGTTTTAAGGGTCACATTCAAACTCAGTTTGAGGCTCAGGTCAATTTCCTGAGGACAGAGAATATCTGAGCAAAAACTAGGACACCCCTAGTAAGAATCAAAGCCATTGATGCCCAACTCAAATTGTCAGTAAATTGGGAAAGAAACCATTCTAAGAAAATAGCCAGTAAATTCAGACAATTTTCAGAGATGAGATAAAAGACCAGCAATCTAAATGTTTCCCAAATCAAAACAGCATACTATTTTGGAATTCAATAACCTACAACTCTTCAGCTTTGGAACCAAACTTGAATTACTGACCCATTTTGAACAAAGATTTTTTATCAGTCTTTTTCCAAAAGAACTATAGCCGTCCTTGGAAAACAAAAGCACAATGTAATAACCTGACGGCAAAAACTTTATCAGGGCTGGTAGTAGCAGTTAGTGTAATGGCTATGTCATTGGACTTCCATGTAGTCGACCATGGTTCGAGTCCCAGACCTGGTGGCTTAAACTCACGCTGTACGTGTGTGCGTGCATGCCCAAGATCCCAAGATTTTGGAGAAAGGAGGAGAAGGGATTGCGGCATGGCCATTCCCCCTGGGGGGTGATTTCTCGCTTTCTGTCTCTCCGTCTCTCTCTGTCTTTCTGACAAGCGCACACGCCCTATAGCAAAAACCTCTCCCAAAAAAGAAAAGGAAAAAAAAAAAAAAAAAACTTTATCAGGGTCACTTTTGGTAAGCCGTGTATACTAACATTAAGAAGTAATACACAAATAAGATGGCATATAATATTCACATAAAATTTAAATTAAATTACATGTCACTGTAAATTAACTGCAATTTAAATTGTAGGTTAGGATTTACTACCTACTACCAATATCCCCACATGTGGAGTTTTTAAAAAAATATTTTCCAAATATTTTTAAGGCCAAAGTACTACAAATAGAAACATAAAGAAATCCCTAAAATGACCTCTTCTCCCTGCAGACCCTGAAGCCCCACGCACCTGGCAGGAAAGCACACAGAATGAACTCCAGGAGCCACGGAGTCGGGACTGGCTGGGGAAGACGGTGTGGGTTTGTGTGAAGAGAGCATCTTTAGGGACAAAAGCTTTCTTACAGGGACTAGTCAGTGGCCTGGCTATACGAATGAGAGGAGGGTGGAGGGCCGAGATACTGAAGCCTTTTAAGAACTCTCCAACCACCCCTCATCCTCACAGCAAACTTACCTATGTCTCTGCAAACGTTGATAAACAGAGATGTGTCGGGATCGGAGTCGTCCACCAAGTAGGCCCCACCGATCTTGATCAGTGGGTTTAAATCATGCTTCCGTAACGCTGCGTCAAATGCATAGCACGGCACCTTGGGGAGAGGGAGAGGGAAAGTGAGTTCAGCGCACACCTGTCGGAGAGGCCTGAGAGCGAGGTCGTACAACCAGGACCCATCCCAAGGGTCACCGGGCCTCGAGGCCCCCGATGACAGACGCAGACGAAACGAAGGCTGGCAGGTGCCCCAGCTCCTCCAGCTTGCTCGCCCCTCACCTGCTCCAGGCCTGTGCCCTGCGTCACCCATCTCCCTCCCCATGAGCCACTCCCCTCCACGTGCACTGTCTTCCACCTTATGAAAGTCCTCAGGTCCCACTGTCCCCTCGGCTCTCATCCCTTATCTCTGCAACGTACAGCAAAATTCCCTGCACAGTCCCTACACACAGACTCTTCCCCACCTCCCATCCCCTCCCGGATGCAGTCACGACAAGCCACTGTCCCCCACTCCACCGCGACCATGCTCACCGGGCACTAGCCACCACCTTGCTACAGGCCCGATGCTCACTTCTTGGCCTTCCCCTCACCTGGTCCCACTTGGCATCGACCACGGCCAGTCCACTCTGCCTGAGGCCCTGGCGTCCTGGCCACCTGGGGCCCGCGCTGCCCTCTGCCCCACCACTGGCTCCCCGGCCTTTCCTCCACCTAAGCGCACCGGGGCTCAGCCGTCAGACTTCCCCGGCTGCGCTCATTCCCTCGTGACTCCGTGCCTGGTAAATCCCTGCCCAGCTCTCCCACAGGTATGTGTCCAGCCTTGACCTCTGCCACGGCCCCAGATGTGTAGGCAGCGGCAGCGGAAGCCATGTCTGTGAGCAAGGCGTGGAGCCAGAGTGCTTGGGCCCAGGCCGGTGCCGGTGTTGGGTGGACGTGAGCAAGTTTCACCTCTGCTCAGCTTCTCCACGTGTCATATAGGAAGGATGTTAGTAATCCGCTCACGGAGCTGCTGTCGGGACTGAGCCGGCCTCGAACTGCGATGCCCCGCTCGGTTCAGTGCCTCAGAAACCTACTAGGTGGGACCTACTGCTATTTGCCGTCATCACCTGGTTATACAAAAGCATCTCAAATTTAACGTACTTAAATGGGCCTTCGATTCTGCCCCCAAAACACGCTCTTACCCTGACATTCTCCATCTCAGTAAATTGTGCGGCCACTAGGGCCCGATCCATGAGGTCACCCTGGAACCTTCTCTTTCACACTCTGCACCGACTGCTCGCAGCAATCCCACCAGCCCTGCTGTGACTAAAGCCATTCACTTCTCCTCATTCCTCCACTGCCACTGTGGTCTCCTGCCTACAGTCGTTTCTCAGCTGGTCCCAACTTTCACTCTTCCCTACCCTCCAGTCCATGCCTCAACCACAGGATGGAGCTTGGAAACCCAGTCAGGCTATGCTGAGCATGAACTTCGAACTCCCACATGGCCTACAGCCCTGCCCACCACCCTCCCTCATCCACGTGTGGTCTCCAGCCCTGCCCACCACCCTCCCTCATCCACGTGTGGTCTCCAGCCCTGCCCACCACCCTCCCTCATCCACGCGTGGTCTCCAGTCCTACCCACCACTGGCCTCCAGTCCTACCCCCCCCCCGCCCTCATCCACACATGGTCTCCAGCCCTGCCCACCACCCTCCCTCATCCCACACGTGGTCTCTAGCCCTACCCACCACCCTCCCTCATCCCACATGTGGTCTCCAGCCCTGCATACCGCCCTCCCTCATCCCACACGTGGTCTCCAGCCCTGCACACCACCCTCCCTCATTCACGTGTGGTCTCAGACCTGCCCACCACCCTCCCTCATCCACACATGGTCTCCAGCCCTGTCCACCACCCTCCCTCATCCTACACGTGTGGTCTCAGACCTGCCCACCACCCTCCTTCGTCCCACACGTGGTCTCCAGCCCTGCCCACCACCCTCCTTCGTCCCACACGTGGTCTCCAGCCCTGCATACCGCCCTCCCTCATCCCACACGTGGTCTCTAGCCCTGTCCACCACCCTCCCTCGTCCCACGTGTGGTCTCCAGCCCTGCCCACCACCCTCCCTCATCCACATGTGGTCTCAGACCTGCCCACCACCCTCCCTCATCTACGCGTGGTCTCCAGCCCTGCCCACCACCCTCCTTCGTCCCACACGTGGTCTCCAGCCCTGCCCACCACCCTCCCTGTCCCATGCATGGTCTCTAGCCCTGTCTATCACCCTCCCTCGCCCACATGTGGTCTCCAGTCCTGCCTACCACCCTCCCTCATCCACGTGTGGTCTCAGACCTGCCCACCACCCTCCCTGTTCCACGGATGATCTCTAGCCCTGCCTGCCACCCTCCCTCATCCCACGCAGCCTCACTGCCCTCTTAAGGCAGTTCAACCCCTTGAAACTCAATTTTGTGTCTGCGTCAACCTGGGATGTTTCTCCAGAGCACACCCAGAGCTCTCTCCCTCACTTCACTCAGGCCTCAAAGGACCCCAGCCAGGTCAGTAAGGCTTTGGCTTGGCTGCCTCTTCACCTGCGAAGGCACTTTCCGCCTCCCCGGCCCTGGCCCGCCTCGCCCCATAGGCACTGAGACACGGGCTGCTCTGTTGACCTGTTCTCACATCCTCCCAGCAGAGCGGAGGCTCCCTGGGGACAGGGGCTTTGTCACTGAGGTCACCGTAACCAGGGCTTTGGACAATGCCCAGGACACAGCAGGAACCCAGTAAACATCCGCTCAAAAGGGGGAGAGGAGCTCTGCCTCCGGGTATCTTAATGCAGTCTCAGTTCTACTGGGTCTTCAGAAGAGTCGCGATCCACTCTACGCACACATGAGTCATGGCTCTTCTGACAACCCAGCTGTTTACGATCACTCTCTCCTCTCTACCAACTAATGACTTATTTTAAAAATGCCACAGAACCCAGCACAGCTGGCAAGACCTTGTGCTTTGAGAGTTCGATTTCTTTTTCTTTTAGTCTTCTAGTGCTTCTAAGGCACTTGTGCTCACCAGAGAGAGACAGAGAGAGCCAAAGTCAGAAAGTATCCCCCAGGTGGATGGCCGCACTGCCATCCCTGCTCCACTCTCTCAGGATTGCTGGCACACATGCATGTATGCCTTGTGTGGCCTTCAGATCACTGGGTCTGGGACTCGAACCACACAGGTGGCCACATGGGACCCTGGGGCTACAACCACTGTGAGAGCTGCCTGTTTCTGAAAGGGAAGCCATTGAAACCCAAGGCAAACAAGGCCCTGGTCACCAAGTGGCCACCACCCACCGCCAGGTCTTTACTGGAAACATTCTGATGAGTTTTATTCCCAGAATAATATACCGGCATGCATTCAGCAGCCCCTGAGCAATATCCTGAAAGCCACGGTCCCTGCCATCATGCCCAAGTAGACGGTCTTATGACTTGCCATGGAGAAACCTGAAATCTACCTTTCAGACTGCAGTAGCTCGTAGAAAGTCTAACTAAAGTTAACGGCACCATGCTTAGCTTCCCATTTTTCTTAGAAAGGTGCTATTAAGCCCTGCACGCGCCCCCAACTAGCCCTCCTCCCCCAGGGCTGTCGGAGATTGTGCAGAGAGTGTTGGAGTCAATCCAACTGGCACCCCTGCCCCTGGGGGGCACGTGAACCCACTTCCACCACACCCCGAGATGGGAGCAGACAGCCTCGCATCTCTGCAATGCTGCCCAGACGTGCATGACCCCAGACGGCTGAGGAGCGGGCCCCACTCAGCGGACATGGGCACACAGGGCCCCCGTCTACACATTCCCACCACTGAGTCCTGCGGGCTGCCCAGCCCAAATCCCGCCACCTCCCAGCAGGACCCCTGGAACACAGCCACTCGGAGAGCCAGGGCAGGCTGGTGGGGTGGGAGGCCAGCAACCACGCTCCGGCTGCAGAAGGACCGCAGGGCGGACAGGGAGCAGGCAGCACAGGGCACACACAGCACCAGTCCTTGCACTGGGACACAGGAGGATGCAGGAGGACACGGAGCAGCCAGATGTGCAGCACCTCGGGCGCATACCACTGCAGGGGGGCCCAGGGCTGGAGAGCTTCGGAAAGGCGGCCAGCCCGGCATGCTCTGCCACCACACTGCCCACCAGCGTGGCATGGGAGACACTGTCGGGCCTGGGCAGGAGGACGGGCAGCACGGCTTTCCCACGCTCCTCAATCACCACTCCCGGGAGGGCCTGAGCGCCCCAGTTCCCGGTCTACGGGACGGGACAGGGGTTCGTTTTAAAGAAACGCTGTCTTAAAAACTCAGAATCTGCTAGAACCACAGCACTGAAAGGCTTTCACATCACCAACGTCCCTCCTGAACTGGACAGAGCAAAACCAACAGGACCTCACTAAGGGGATGCAAGTGTGGAGAGTCGTCGCCGAGAGTGGAGACACCACCGAGAGGGGAGACGCCGCCAAGAGGGCAGACGCTGCCAAGAGGGGAGACACCGCCAAGAGGGGAGACGCCGCCGAATGTGGAGATGCCACCGAGAGGGGAGACACCACCGAGAGGGGAGACGCCGCCAAGAGGGGAGACACCGCCGAGAGGGGAGATGCCGCCAAGAGGGGAGACGCCGCCAAGAGGGGAGATGCCAAGAGTGGAGACACCGCCGAGAGGGGAGACTCCACCGAGAAGGGAGACACCACTGAGAATGAAGACGCCACTGAGTGAGGAGACACCACAGAGCGTGGAGACGCCACCGAGTGTGGAGATGTCACCGAGTGAGGAGATGCCACCGTGTGTGGAGACGCCACGTCACTAAGGTGTGGAACTCAAGACTACATACACGGACTAAATCACATTGAGTTTTTTTTAAGGAATTTTCTAAACACACAAATCTTCAATCCTGGGTTGTGAGAAAGGCCACGATGCATTTGTGCATGGGCAAACACAGAACTCCATCGGGACTTTCCCCACGGCCCCGCGTTATTTGCTGAGGTTACCAGCCAGGGGCCCACCAGGTCCCGGCGAGCAGGGCTGAAGACACAGCGAGGGCAGTGCTCGAGGACACACAGTGACCGCACCCACTCTGAGCAGACGCACCTCAGACGGGGGTCCAGCCGTGTCCCCAAGGCGGAGGACAACGGAGGTAGAGCATGGACACGTCCCTGCTCCCAAGAGTCCATGGGCTCCCTGAGAGCGAGGACCACTTCCAAATGCAGCGGCACCCTGCTGCTTAGCCCGGTGGGTGTCACTAAGGGACAGTGGAGGAACCACGGCTGGCGAGCACAGCTGAGACCACTGCGGACAGCTCGGGCACGCCTCCCACAGCCAGCACGGCGGCTTCTAAGAGAAAGCCTGCCACTGCCCGGGGAAGACCACCCAGGAAACTACTTGCAACAGAAATCAGCACCTTTTTTCTGTACGAGGCAAGAGAATATCTAGGCTTGGCAGGTCACATGGGTTTCTCTTTTCTTTTATTTTTTCTTTTTTGCAATCCTAAAACTACTCTCAGTTCTGGGGCTGAACTAAAAAGAAGCCTGGCGCAGGTCTGGCGTGCTGCAGTCTCTGCCTCGCGGCCTATGGGAAACATATCAGTTTACTTATTTTGGAAAGCATTTTTCCCAGGTGGCAGAAGACACGACCGTCAATTCAGCAAGGTGAGAAATGAGGGAGGAAATCGGAACGACCATTGGGCAGGAGACGCAGAGGCCAGGAGAACCCTGGTGGGAGGGGCAAAGGCTGAGACCGAGCCGAGGGCAGAGGGGCAGCTCTCTGGTCGCAGCCCAGACCCCAGCACTTGGGGGTGACACTTGGGGGTGACTCTCCCCACCCTACATGGACTGCAGGTTTGAGACGTTTTCCTGCCATGTCAAACAGTTGAACCTAAGTTTTAAAAGAGAACCACAGTTTAAATCTGACATCCCCTCCTAAGTATCAAACTTAAATCTTTCAACTTTTTTTCTACTGGGCACTCAGAGAAGAGATGTTTATGCTGTTCTCGGAGAGACAACATTTGCCTCTTCTACTTCCACATCAAACTGCCTTTTCTTTTCTAGATGGACTTGTTTGCAAAATCAGTGTTCGTTCAGTATTTGTACGAGGTCCTTGGGAAAGTCAGGATGTGTTTTTCTATGCAAACATGCGTCACAATTTTCCAGACAACCCAAAAACTTGATTTTTTAAAAATAAACATCATCACTTTGCCTCTCATAAACTACATGGTCTTAGGCACCAGTAAAAATTACTGATTGCTGCCATCTGCTAACTCATAGACCCCAGAGTCTTGGAACTCAACCCTTAAAAACAGAAAATTAATAGAAAAAATGAGAATACTCAGCTAAGACTGCCGTCAGGCTGAGAACAGGAAAAACTTTAAGACCAGAGGTGGTGGGTGGCAAGAAGTGCAGGAATGTGAGGAGTCGGGGCCAGGCCTGGGACAAGGATGCATCGCCAGTCACCAAGAACGACTTGACTGAGAGGCCCACTATGAGACCTGGTGACCGTAGTTAAGCAACTGCAGCAGATTCTGAAAATCACTAGGAGAGCAGATTTTCAGAGTCCTCAGAGCAAAAGGAAATGAATAGTTTGGGAGGGCACGCGTATGGTACTTAGCACAACTTAGCCACCCACCACGTTTACATACTCCAAAACAGCGCGCTGCACGTGACGCGTGTGTGTGCATACATGTGTACACACGAAAGGTTTGTCTAAGGAATGCTGTCCAAATAATAACAGGAGGAGTGGAGTAGCAGTAACAGCAACCTAGTCTCTGAGGTGATCTGGCCAAGAATTTAAAGGGTAGGCACACCCAGCCTGGATTCGCGTGTGGCTGCAGAGAGGGGATGAGCACGGAACACAGGCAGCGTGGCGTGCACAAGGCAGGACGCCCAGATGAAATAGTGGGGCTGAGACAGATGCTGCTGGAGGGAGATTGCAGACTCCAGGCCCAAGCCCTGGGCTCCGCCGAGCCCACGGAGCTGGGCGACACCGGAAACTGAGAACTAAGGAGTTGGAGGTGCACGAGCGCCTCGGCTTCCAATCTGGACCCCAATCACCTCCTGTGATATTGCAAATGCCCTGTCCTAAAAAGAACCACCACCCAGAAAATTAAATCACGTAGTGTCTCTGCTCGAATGGAGTTTGAAAACTGAGAAAGATTTCCGTTCCGAAAGCTCAGAATCAGTATTTCAAATCTTGACGCTCCCCCAGAGCTGCTTTAAAAGTGTGTAACCATAAACTCCCATCACCTCCTTGATGGCTTTAAATGTGTCCTTCTTGCAGGCTACAGCAGTCTTCCACTCGAAGTAATGCACGCATTCCGTGGCAGTGACAAACTCCGGAGTTCCCTATTAAAAAAAAGAAAATTAGGGAAAAGTATCGTACCTCAAACTGTAAAGCTTTTTTTCAACATTAAAAAAACAAACACAGTAAACGCTCATAAAAATGTTAAAACAGCGGCAAAAAAGGCAAGGGGAAACAAAATTGCTCCAATCAAACGAGGTCACCAAAGCTTTGGAGACGAGAGCTTCATGAGATCATGCTGGAATTTCAGTACAGCTGGTCCGAAACTGTCCTACTGCCCCCACAATGTACAGTAAGCTCCAGACGCAACCCTCGGAGTCATTGTCCTCAAACTCCAAATGTGCTCCTAACCAAGCGCCAGCAAAAGCAAAGCCAGAAAGGGTGACCTCATCCTTCCTGCTTGGAGGCCTGCAGGGAGCCCATCTGCATCCTATGGGGCCCCCACCCCGCCCACCAGACGACAGAGGGGCGCCACCTTCAGACAGCCCTCCAGACCCTCCGCCAGACTGCAAACTGGCCAACCAGGACAAGCTGGGGGGATGGCGGCACAGCAGGAACTAACCTCTTCACTCCCGGGGGCAAATGGAAGCAGCACACCCTCACGGCTCTGTTCCCTGTGTGGCGACCACAGACCACAGAATTCTCCAGGGAAACTGAAGGCAGAGCAGCAGCTAGCTTCCGCTCTGCCATCCTCCCCACTTCACGCCAGCATGAAGAGTCCTTTCTGTAAGGTCGCAATATGTACGACAGGGCCACCGACGGGCTCAGCCAACTCGGTAACGCCATCGGTTCTGGGCTCCGAGTGCCTCAGACAGGACGTGCTGAGGAGTTGACAGTCACTGCATCAAATTGTCTTTAATTTTAAAGTTTTGCCAGAGGGAGCAGGTGCGCCAAGAGGTGCCCCGTGGGGTGGTCACGCCACAGTCCCTTCTCCATTTCTCTCTCCCTTCAGGACTGGGGGCAAGCATGCACATGTGCCCAACATGGTTTTTCAACCATCAGGCCTGGGCCGTGTGGGGTCCAGCTCCTATAACCACCAGACCACAGGGTGGCCCAGAGCACCAACCCCTAAATCAACATCGTAAAGTAATTTGATCCCCACATGAGTTTTCACTCAACCTGGCTTTGGAGAGCATCCGTAAGATTGAGCCGCCAAATGTACCTCCCAAAAGCTAGCAGTCATTTACTGCAAAGCCCTTTCTAAACACTAAAGATTAAGACCAACAAATCACACACAATAGGCCCCAAATTAAGACCAAACATCAGATTTACAGTCACATCTTTTTAATCAGGCAATACTCACAAACCATGGGAACCCCATTAGTCACCGGGCAGGGCTTCTCCTAAATATTGGGTTGTCAGAAAAGTCATGACACATTTTTGCACAGAAAAATATGAAAATACATCATGACTTTTCCAACAGCCCAACAGATACTGGTCTCTCCAATTTAATGTAAACGAGGAAAGAAAAAAGAACAAAATTTTGAGAGGTTTTTGCCTTCGGGCATGTGCACTCGGCAGAGGAAAAAGAAAAAGGCAGTTGGAGGGAAAGTGAGAAATCATGGGGTGAGGGAGGCCACACCACAATCCCTTCTCCTCCAGGCTCCTCCTGGGATCTTGGGCACACACGACATGTGCACGGCGTGAGTTTGAAGCCACTGGGTCCAGCACTAGAACCACAGTGGGCCACGTGAGAGTCCAACAATGTAACTGCTAGGCCATCTGCTGCCCTCCCAGTTTTTTGCGTTTTTTTTTTTTTTTTTTGAGATCTTTGCCATAGGGCGCACGCTCTCACCAGAGAGACAGAGAGTGAGAAATTGCCCCCCCAGGGAAGATGGCCAGCTGTAATCCTCTCTCCTCTATTATCCTCTCGGGATCTTAGGCGTGCACGCACACACGCCCAGCATGAGTTTTAAGCTTCTGGGTCCAGTACTCGAACTGCTGTCAACTATGTGGGAGTCCGCCAACATAACCGCTACACCATCTGCTGGTCCTCAGAAAAACAATGGAAGTGTGCCTGAAATCTACATTAAGCAGTCCTTTGAGCTATGAGACAACAATCACTTTGAATTGCAGCCTACATGGGGTGTGGTTCAAGTTTCATTCAAAAGTCATCATCATACTTTTGGGATTTGTTTATTTTTGGTTTTTGATAGTGATTTGGTTGGGGTTTCTGTTTGCATTTTTAACTGTGCTTACTGATCCGCCCTGAAATCACTCTCTAGGCAGAAGGCCCCAGGGCGGCTCAGTGAGGACTCACCAGGGTCTTCCCGCACAGAAAGGTGATGCTGCTCTGGACTTTGTGATTAGTGCTTTGCTGCCTGCAGCTCAGGGTTGTGTTGAATTCCAGAAGAGATCGAGTTGCACTTTTCAAAGCAGAGTCACCTGTTTGGGGAACAAGAACAAGGAACAGGCTGTGAGACACACATCAGTGTCAAGCTGCTCTTAAAGATAAGCAAACCAAAACCATCGCAATTATCTGAAAGCTTATGACTTACAAAACCGTCCCTGCCCCAGAAGTCTCCATCTCAAGGCTGGCATCAGGCCCACCCAGTCGTGCAAGCCCACACATGTGACCTGAAGCCCCATCTTCCCTGGGCTGCCAGAGTCACGGGGCAGAAAGTTCTGGTTGTGTCTCCCTCTCAAATCCATCCTCACTCCTCCATCCCTATGGCCGCCGAATCCGTACCTCCTCTCACCAGCGCTCTTGCAACAGCACCTTGACAGGTCCCCTCACCTCTGTTCTTTCCTCGTCCCTCACCCTGTCCCCTTTCCCACTCACCTGGCACCAGTGTGATCTCAGAACGTGTTCTTCAGATGCTGAGACTCTCCAATATTTCCCATTACATACGCCTAATAATAAAAACCCTTTACGCAGGCCCACGAGTTGGGTGACCCAGCTCGGTTTGTCTGGGACATGACTATAATAATCCAGAATAAAAAGTCGAGATAAAATCAACATCGTGGGGCGTGGCAGGGAATCAATCTCACAGAAGGACTAGAATAGAGGCCCAAAGACTAGCAGATGACTAGAAGGGAGAACACAAACACGCGTGTGCGTATCGGGCGTGATTATGACAGAAAGAACAGATCGGATCCGTCCATGGAGAGAGACTTTCAATAAAGGGAGCGAAAAACAAATTCTTATCCACAAGGAGGCATAAAACTCGGCTCCTACCTTCCACTGTACACAAAAACCAAACCTAGTAGAAATTACCTTTTAGATCTTAATAGGGGAAAAAGTTTAATACTCAAAATATTAACTACAAAAGACAAGATCAATAAACTTGACTCAATTTAAGAGTTTGCATTCAGGGCCAGCAGGTGGCGTGGTAGTTAAAGCACTGGATTCCCATAGGGCCATCCTCAGATGAGGTCCCAGACCTGGCAGCTTGCTTTCTCATTCTCTCCCCTCTCTCTGTCTCTCAGGCTCACATACCCTATATAGTACATTGAATAATACTAATAACATAAAGATAATTTTTTAAAAGAGTCAAAATTCATTAAAAGGAAAAAAACTTAAAAAAAAAAAAAGTTACAAAGGAGGACATTCACAGAACTGGCAGCAAGACCCCAACCTACACACAGGCCACTGTGGCAGTACACCCAGCTGAGACGCTGTGCCCCAGAGGGTGGGACCGCATGGGAGACTTGGGTTCAATTCCTGGTCTGAGCTAGCAGCCAGGTGCGGTGGCCGGTGCCTGGCCTCCCAGCAATGCAGGAGACAGGCAGAAAGGAAAGCTCGAGCTGGCCTGGACAGAGAGCAAGACCCTGTCTAGGGAAGAGCCAGGCACGAGGCGTGTGCCGCAGTCCCAGCTGGGAGGCTAAGGCAAGAGGAAAGAAGTTTTTGCTTTTTTAAAAAAAGATTATCCGCATACATTCACATGCAAACAAGAAGTAAAGAAAGATTTTAATCTAGAAATTGAAAGATGGTAAGTGATCTTTAAGAGAGCACATGCCAGAAGGGAGAGAGAAGGAAAGCCCACACCTAGTCACACTATAATGAACTTTTTAAAAATTATTTATATAATTTATTTAGTAGTAGAAGTATTCAGTTTTACCAGAAAGAGGAGAGTGATAGTGAGAAAGCAAGCCGCCAGGCCCAGCGCCCTTAACCACCACACCACCTGCCGGCCCCCACTGTAATGAACTTTAATATTAGAGAGAGAGGAAATTCTAAAGTTCTCAGAGGGAGAAGAGGGCACTAAAAAACCCGACATAGAACGGACAAAAGATGCTCAATCAAACAAATAAAACCTATTCAGTAAACACATGAAGAGGCCCCACCGAGGTGGGACAGGCCGCAGGGTACCACTGCACAACACCGCAGGCCCAGGGGACAGATCCCAGGTCGGCCGGAACAGCCAGCGTGCCCACGGTCCCGGCTAGCTGGAAGGCTGGGGGAGGATCATGGCATGGCCAGGCCCTGTTGAATTTGGTTTACTTTTCTTATGAAAGAAATACTTGTTAGTAAGTAAATAAGAGATGTTCAAAACACTGGTGATTAAGGCCGTAACGATAAACTATTTACCGCCACTGGCGGGTCCACTGGTAATACTAAACGCCAGCTATTGGAGGGGAGGACCTCCGTCAGCATGACATAGGACCTAAAACAATCATAGGGACTCACACAAGAGAAAATCTCACAAATACGTGTAACAGGAAACACGTGGAAAGGTACCTTGTGCTCTTAACAGCAGCAAAAACCTAGACACACCGCATACACTGATCAATAGTGGAGAGGATAAACTGATTTTGGAAGAGCTACAAGAGAAAGCAGTCCAGCAGACAGAAAGAATAGCCGCAGTGAAAGGTGGCCAAAGTGTGGCTGGTTTTCAGCAAAACGACTGCTATCACAGCTACTATCTGGTCCCCAACAGTTACACGCAGCAGAACTCGTTTTATAAAGGTAATTATGGGCATTCACAGATTTCTTCTTTTTTTTGAAATTAAGTAGACAGGATTTTAGTTTTTTCCAAGAGATTTTTGCTACAGGATGCATGCACTCGCTGTAAAGACAGAGAAAGTAAGAAATCACCCCACAGATGGTCATGCTGTACTTCTTTCTCCTTCATTCTCCTCTCAGCATTTTGGATACGCAGCGTGATTTTTCAAGCCACCAGGTTTAGGATTTGAACTGTGGTTTGCCATGTGGGAGTCTAGCACCTTAACCACTAAGCCACCTGCTGGCTTGGGATTTTTTTTTTTTTAATACAGTGGAAAACAAAAGGGGGAAGAGGGAAACACATAGTAGTGATTACTATCAAGATCCTAGGTTTCGTTAGACATGGAGTTCACTACATTCAATAAAAAACAAAGTTAGGATAGCCCATGGCCTGATGGTTAAGGCAGCTGGATCCCACATGCTCCAATACGTGTTTCAAGTCCCAGACCCCTGCGCTGAAAAACACACCAAACATGCATGTCCAAAACCCGACAGGAGGGAAGAGATGGAGAAGGGATTAAAGCCTGACCATCCCCATGGAGGGTGAATTCTCATTTTCTCCTCCCCCAGTAAAAACCTAAAAAAAAAAAAAAAAAGGCCACAGTTTAATGAGCCTGTGTCACAAACTAGGGATTATAACTGGTCCAATTCTACACACACACACCTGAGGTCTTTGTGAGAGGGAGGAGAGGGAGTAAAGGCCGAGTGGGAAGTAAGATGGTAGCTGCCCCACAGCACCAGACATCAGCAGCTATCACTCCCCAGGACAGCCAGGTCACCTCCGAGAGCTCCAGACGGCACAAGAGGCTCACCCAGCTGCACCGAGACCTCCAGACCACGCTCGCCACAGCCCCCAAGGGGCATCTCACCATGGCAGCCAAGACACTGGGCAGTGCAGGCTGGGACCACCAAGCCGTGCCTCCAAGCCCAGCCAAGGCCAGGACGATGACAGCCCTGCTGAGGCAAAGCCTGACTGCACACGGCACGCAGCCAGAAGGGCTGTTTGGACAGACAAGCCCTGTTGTACTCACCCTTGTTCTCCAAAAAGCTTCTACCTGCTCCCCTGCACCACTTACTGTGCCTCCTTGTAGTGGGTTCCTTCAATACCCACTATGCACCTGTTATTTAGTGAATTAAGAAAATCCTCTAGGGACCAACGGATGGTATAATGGTTACGTTGCTGGACTCCCACTTGGCCGATCATAGTTTGAGTCCCAGACCTGGCACCTTGAAACTCATGCCAGGCGCCTGTACATGCATACCCAAAATCTCTAGAGAATGGAGAAGGAATTCTGGCATGGTCATCCCCCACTGTGGGGTAGGTGATTTTTCACTTTCTTTCTCTCGGGTGAGTGCAGGTACCTTATAGCAAAAATCTTCCCTCTACAAAAACAAGGGAAAATTCTATCAAATTTGTACCTCCAGCTAGTGGCTTACCTTTGGCTCCTCTTGATAGTAGCATCTCTTCTGTGCCTCTGTTCTTGCTATCCCTGACACCCCTGGTGACCACCATGTCATCCCATGCCCTGGCTGTCACGACCCCCCACCAGCTCGCTCCCTCAGCTCTAGATCCTTACTTAAATGTCACTTTCTCAGCAACTCTTCGCCCACCTAAACACGCAACATCTAAACGGCCCCGGCCCTGGCACCCTGACCACCCTCTTCTTTCTGTGGCATTTACCACATTCTTCCTTAGGCACTGTTTGCTTTCCAGTCTAATGGGGTCTTGCTCCATGACCAAAGGCATCTTGTGTCTGTGTTAGTGACTAGCTCATTTCCGGTTCCTAGGACAGTGCCTGAATATGACTGGCAGTCAAATCTCTTATAAATAAATGAATGTTACTTGTTAGCCGTGTTTTTTAATATAATTTTTATAGATATCTTTTTAGATGGGGCCAGCAGGTGGTGTGGCGGTTAAGAGCGCTGGACTCCCACATGGCCAACCGCGGTTCAAGTCCTGAAGCTGGCGGCTTGCTTTCTCACTTTCCCTCCCTCTCTCTCACTCTATCCATCTTTGGTCAAATTAAAATAAAAAAATACATAAAAAAAGGTAAATAAAATTAAAATAATTATTTTTTAAAAAGATATCTTTTTAGATATGATTTAACAAAGTAAATCAGAAAAAAACAATACTACAGGGCACTGAGTCACCCGCACACAGGTTATTCCAGCACTACCTGTACAACAAACGATGCTGGAGAGAGCTTCTGCACAAATATTAAGCAGTACTGTGTCTTCATTAGTTAGTCACAAAAGGAATTTACAGAAATGTTGTAAAATTTAACAGAGATTGCCAGACTAAGAGTAGAGACCGTAAGTCAGATAAAACAATGTGTATCCCAAACTCTACCAGATAGCATCCTAAACACTGAACAAGATGACAGGTCTTAAGAAAATGAGAGAAGGCGGGGTCAGCAGACGGCGCAGCAGTATGCTGCTGGACTCCCGCGTGACCGACTGCAGTTGAGTCGCGGACCCAGCGGCCTGAAACTCACATTGGGTGAGTGCGCGTGCATGCCCACGATCCCGGGAGGAGGATGAAGGAGGAAGGACTGCAGCATGGCCATCCCCCAGGGGGTGAGTTCTTACTTTCCCTCTCACTGTGTGTCTCTCTCCAGCGAGTGCATATACCCTAAGACAAAAACTTCTGCAAAAAGTGAAGGAAAAAAAATGAGGTAATAAAGGACTTAAGAAGAAAAGGCATTTTCCTATCTTCGGAATCATGAGAGGAAGAACGCAATGTCCTGAGCACACCCGAGGGTCACGGCCTAAGAGTCTCCAGAAGTTGGAGGCCAGGCTCCTCAGAGTCCCCAGACCGAGAAGGAGCAACCGGAATTCCAGGCTGGTACTGACAACGCCAAGTGACATATTCTCGAGTGAGGAGTCATTTCAGTTAGATGGGCCGACCGCGGGCTTCCTGACGTGGGGCTGAGGATTTAGCGCTCGGGTTGATGGATGAAAGCCATGGCGTGGATGTTCGGGATCTCGGGAGAACATGAACACATTTCACGCACTGGCAATGTTTAATGTTGTGACTCCAACGGAAAGTTTATAGCTGAGGAACTGATCTAGACCTGTGGCACAGTATTGGAACGTCTTAAGAAAATGCAGGGTTTATAAGGTTAAACCATTAAATGAATGGAAATTGTTAGACTGAAGTTTTGTTAAATAAGGCATCTGAAGTACTTAAAAGGAAACCAAATAAATCAAATACAGAAATCATTGTAAAACGCGATGGAGCTGAAATCCACTAGGTTCTAAGTGAGACCAAAGCTGTCCTCAGGGCCAGCAGAAACGGCAGTTACAACCTGCTGGACCCATACCGCTGCGACATCACTGCCTGACGAGGAGTGAACGGGCGGTTTCTCATTAGAAATAACATGATGTTGTTTGAACCGAAGTTGAGGTCTTAATATTCATCTCTTAGTACAGAAACTGCCCTGGGGTCCTCTAAACTCCACCAGCTTCCCGACTAACGTTCCGCGACCTGTAATGTGCCCTGCCCGGCTCCCCACCAGCGCTGGGATTCACCCCTTCCAGCCTTGCCAGATCCACACTCACACCTGACTTCCTAGTGGGGCGCACCGACCACCTCAATTTCAGCCGGTGAACTGCCTGTTCTTAGGCTGTGCCATTTTTGCCTCCTAAATTGTTGGTCTTTCTTTGCGAGTTTTAAGGAAAGCTCTCACCCTAGTACCATGCTAGCCCATATGCTGGCAGTTTCTTCCCCGGTCTAACACATATCTTCTGTCCCTCTCCTCCTTCGGGGCTTCCGGGTCTCGCTAAGGAAGGCGTCTCCTCTGGTTGGTTCTGTGTCACTAACTCCCCCATATCTACTGCTGCCTTTGTACTTTCAAGTCGTACCTGTAAATCAGTGTATGTGACTGAAGGGGTGAGGTCTTTGTTTCCTAACGGACAAGTAAATCGGTGACTACCCTCCATGAAGTTCCCCAGTACCTTGGATCCACGTCCGCCCCAGCCCCTCTATCCCTCTGGTCTACTAGGGGCGCTGGTTTTGTGGCTGCTTTGAACCAGCTTCCCCCTCCTGGTAAGTTCGTAGGAAGTGAACTTCTCCTGCTCCCTGAGGACCACAGGGGCAGTGTCCCCCACACACTCCCTTCCACCTCAGCCCTACCCATCTGCTGTAACCCATGACTCACACCACGAAGCCCTGAGGAGCACCGGCTCTGGAGTCGGCCGGTGGGCACGGAGCGCCATGACCACCAACCTCACTCGGGCACGGGTTCTTTTGTGCTTTGGTTTCTTCCTTTAGCAAACGAGGAAATCAAAGTCACCCACTGCAAAATGCTGCTGAATGAATCCAACGAGACGCTTTACATAAGGCCTGGCACTTACATGCAGGACCAGTTCAGGTAACTGTCGGATACGCAGGTTCACAACATTAGATCCAAGAGAATCCCTAGGCTATCGCGCATGCCTCTCACTTGTGCACACGATTCGCTTTCTCTAGCTGAAGAAACGAAGCAGTTACCACCAGGGCTAAAAAGTATGATAGAGGCTCTTCGGGAGCCTGAAGCTCAGGGAAAAGTACCCGCCATGCATGCCTGGGAGTAAAACTGAGATCGGAGATGAGGGTTTATATCGTCGTCAACCCATTAGCTTAGCTTTCACTCATCTGGCTACCACTGGCCTCTCCCTTTTAGGCATCCTTCCTATTTCACCGGGCCCAGTTTTCCACAAACCTCCCATCACATCACCTCCCCCAGGACCCACGGAGAACCTGGGAGGGATCCCCTGGCTCCCAGAGCAGCAGTTCTCCTTCCGGACCGTGACGGGTTTGCCCTGGTAACTGTCCCACTGCACTACGCCACACTGCCACCAAGTACAAGACACGGAGTCGAGAAGGAAACGATGTTTTTTCTCTTTCTGAATGCATGTAACATTGACCAACGGGCCGCTGTGGCCTCCGTCTGCGAACCACTGAGAGACCACGTGGGGGAGACCGGCAAGCTGGCTGCAACTCTGCTAGGTCCGCCATCGAGTTAGACTTTTCTGTCCGGGAGTTCAGAGCAGGCTGGTGCTCTGTCCGGCCTCCATCCACTGTCCCTTCCCTCCTTTTTTTTTGAGAGGTTTTTGCTATAGGGCACGTGCACTCACCAGAAAGACAGAGAGACAGAAAGCGAGAAATCACCCCCCAGAGGGGATGGCCACACCGCAATCGTTTCTCCTCCATTCTCCTCTTAGGATCTTGGGCATGCATGCACATGTGCCCGGCTTGAGTTTAAGCCACCAGGTCTGGGACTCGAACCGCAGTGGAAGTCCAGCGACATAGCCATTACGCTAACTGCTGGTCCCAATCCTGATAAAGTTTTTGTGGTCAGGTTATTACATCGTACTTCTGTTTTCCAAGGGCAGCAGACCCACAGACTGTGCACACAGCTATTCACAGCCACACCGCCAGACAGACACACAGACTGCGCACAGCTATTCACAGCTACACAGACACACACAGACTGTGCGCACAGCTATTCACAGCCACACAGACACACAGACTGCGCACAGCTATTCACAGACACGCAGACACACAGACTGCGCACAGCTATTCGCAGACACACAGACTGAGCACAGCTATTCACAGCCACACACAGACACACAGACTGCGCACAGCTATTCTGACACACAGACACACAGCCACGCAGACAGACTGCGCACACAGCTATTCACAGCCACGCAGACACACAGACTGCACGCACTGCTATTCACAGACACACAGCCACGCAGACACACAGACTGCGTGCACAGCTATTCACAGACACACAGACTGCACGCACAGCTATTCAGACACACAGACTGCGCACAGCTATTCACAGCCACACAGACTGCGTGCACGGCTATTCACAGACACACAGACTGTGTCCACGGCTATTCACAGACACACAGAACATCGTTCCCACCGGAGTGGGACCAGGTCGCCGCACCCAGTGCCGTGAGAGTGGCGTTACTTACCCACTGACTGGTAGTTGTTTGTCTTCAAGTTGTGCAGACAGACGGCACTGGATGGCCCGCACTCCGTAATGCCCACGTTTCCGCAGAGGTTGATTTTGTACAGCATGCTATTTTTGGTATCAACAGCTTCCCATGTGTAACTAGAAAGGGAAAAACAAAAACACAACTTGTCACGGTCATGGACTTACAAACAGCAAACGTCTCTTTACTCTTACATTCAGGCCACATGTGCTTACTACCACAAACTAGAAGGCACCTTCATTAGCCAAAAATACTAAAGTCAAGTATGTTGAGTTGAAAAGAAGCCAGGGCAGAAACCACTAAATACCACCTCGCTCTGCTGAAATCTGCTCTGAAGCCACTCCGGAACTCAACTATCATCAAAATACTCAAGTCTGGCCCAGCCACAGTGGAGGCAGG